AGGGAGGAAGGAAGGAAGGAAGGAGGGGAGGGAGAGAGGGAGGGAGGGAGGGAGGAAGGAAGGAAGGAAGGAAGGAAGGAAGGAAGGAAGGAAGGAAGGAATAAGGGGAAAAGATGACCCTTTGGATACCCTTGGCAGGGCCTTTGCCAAGATGAACATTGATGGACTTGAGTGTTCGGCTGGTCTTCTAGCATGTGGCTGAGCAATGGCTGTGTTACCTGGATTAACCTGAGCTTTTGCAGAACTCAAGATGGACAGCAGCAGGAGTAGCATCAAGGGTATTCTGGGAATCGAAGTCATCTCAGAAGATGGTGTCGGAACTGGAGCCTGCAGCCCACCAAAATGCAAGCAAACGAGAAAGAGAAGGAGAGGAGAGGAGTGAGACAGATACTATCAAAATGAATGGATACAATTTGCACTATTATGTTTGGGTTCTTACAGCCTTTATTTCTATATTTAGGACTTCAAGTCACAGACTTGGAGAGTCTTGTGGGACATTCAATAATCACATAATGTAAGAATTTCCAAACTCAGATCATGAAATTACAATTACCAAAACTATAGGCAAGTAACAAAGTTTTACTAAGATTAATACTTACCCACATTGTGAACGGTGATAGTCTAAAACTTACATTTATGACGTCCTCACAATTTTGATATTGACTCCAATATTAAACCAAGAAAAATATATATATATGGGGAATATTTACAGATACATACATATATACAGGTTAGTATACACACATGCATCTCTTTGCTGTATCAGCTGAGAGGGCCTAAAAGCCAAACACCACAATAGCAACAAGTATGCCTAGTGCCCAGATCTTGGTTTTTAATACCATTCTCCAATAAAAGGAGTCAGAGTTCCTTGGAGAAGTGGCTGATCCCAGGCCTGGGGCAGGATATATACAATATGAGCCTGGAGAATCTTTTAGTGGCAGAAATCAAGAAAGTATACACCCCCCCCCCAAGTGATGGGGATATATCAACGGGACACAGGAACCAACTGAAAGAGTTCTCAGTGGTCAAAGCTGGAAGAATTTGAGCAACAGAATAAATAAAGTAGTATTGGACTACAACCCAAGGAACAAAATAAATATCTACAAGTCCATGTTGATATAAATAAATGACTGAATAAGCAAAAGGGGGAGAAGAGAAAATCTTCCCATTCGAAAGAATTCTAAATAATTTACGTAGATACTCTGCTTTTAAGGAGGTGGCACATAATCCCTTCCCTTAGGGTGAAATGCACACAGTGACCTTCTCCCAAATAGTCCAGCATGGAAATGGAGGAAGTAGTTTTTCAGTGGAGGAACTTGACAAATGCTACCTCAAGCCAGGTGATGGAGGTTAACATCACCTTTGATAAGTCATACTGTTAATATATACCCTGGATATGATATGATGAGAATGGCACAGGATAGCCTCTGTGGTCTTCCTCCTAAAAACCCATTACCTCAGACTAATCATGAGAAAAACATCAGTTCAGTCCCATTTTAGGGACATTCTACAAAATTCCTATTGAATAATCCTCTAAGCTATCAAGATCACAAAAGACAAGAAAGTCTAAGAAACTGTCACAGCTAAGGGAGCCTAAGGAGGCATGACAACTAACTGTAAAGTGACATCCTGGATGATGATCCTGGAATAGATAAAGGACATAGGGGAAAACTGAGGAAATCTGAATGAAGTATAGACTTTAGTTCATTATAATGTATCAACATTGGTTCATTAACTATGACAAAGCTACTGTGCTAATGTAGGATGTTAATAATAGGGGAAACTGGGTATTGGGTAAACAGGAATTCTATGTACTATCTTTGCATTGACTCTGCAAGTATGAAACTGTTCTAGAATAAAAATTGTACTAAAAAGTTTCTGCCAGGTAACACTAATCATCAACCAAAACAACAATGGACCCATTGTTATAAATAATATGCAATACATAATTAACAAAGGAAGACAAAATCCCATTAAGCTGGGGTGATTACAGAAAGCTTCATGGAGAAATCTGACCTGATCAGGCTCTTGAATGATGAGTAGGATTTTAATGGGCTATAATGGGAATGGAGTAAATAAAGGGGAACATAGCCAAGATACCTGTTGAGGAAGCAGAAACTTTCTATGATGTTTTCTAGGTGGTAGAACTCTCACCTGCCCTCCTCAATAAACCAGTAGGAAAAGAAAGAAAGAAAGAAAGGAAGGAAGGAAGGAAGGAAGGAAGGAAGGAAGGAAGGAAGAAAGAAAGAAAGAAAGAGGGAAGGAAAGGCAGATATTCAAATGCTTGAAGAGGATGAAGCCAAAACGAATCAAGGACAAAAGACTAAAGTGGCCTTCTGGTGGGGGTGGGTGATCCACAGACCACAAAATGGTGATAAGTGTGGTTTCATGGCATTGATTTGGATGGGGTAAAATATGTGTCTCAGTGTGCATAGTCACTGCCAGCAGCAGAAACATTGTGTTTTCATAAAGGAGTCCCCAAACTAATATGCCCAGAGAAAGGAAGACATGGGCAGATCTTGGAGACATTGGTCATAGCTATAATCTAGCACTAGCCATGACCATGGTCCAGGATGTCCTTCCACAAAGACCCAAGCTTCTTGTGCACAACCACTCAGCCTTGTCAGCACTGCCTTGACTAACCACTCTCTCCTTTGGTAGAAGAGTCCCACAATTCTCTCTTGGGACACTTTCTCATGAGTTGTTGGCCATAACCTCTCCCCTCTATAACCTTCCCCAGCAGTTCCCTCTACAAGGAATGTCTTATACCTCATTTCCTTAACCAAAACACACGCTGATTTTGCCTCTATTAGATCCTCCATGGCATAGTTATAAAAAAAATCCATTTAGTCATTACCTTCAAAATGGCTCATTCTTGTATCTCCAAAAGAATACTTTCCATTTTGTACAAAGCATGCACTCAAAAATGGTTTTCAACTGAACTCCGCAGCACTTACTAGATGCTTAAAACTATCTGACTGACTTTCCTTTTGGAAACTGTTACTTGAGGGTTTCAGGCTGTGAATCTCCAAAACAAGTGATTATTTCTACTTTGCTGGCTTCAAATTAGGGTGTCAGCAGCTAACGAACACAGAAGAACCATTAACAAACTCAGAGGTATGGTAACTACAGCGTGTATATCTAACGTGAGCCAAAGACGCTCTCATGTAATATTCACAGTAACCCAATGAGGTTGTTTTTCATCAACAAGGTAACTGAGCGGGAAGAGAGTAAAACTGATCTGATTACACAGTTGACAGGTGCTCACGTGAACCCAGAGTTTGTATCACTCCAACATCCACATGGGTTTTGTTGTTACTGTTTGTTTTGTCTTTGTTTGTCATTATACTGCACTCCCCTTTGATCTGGCCTCGCCTACAAGACCCAAGCTATTCTCCTGCTTCTGCCTCACGGCCTCTGCCGGGATACTTCAGGCTCTCTTTGTCCAGATCAACCCTCTGTTCAACGGTCACTTCCTCTGTGGAAACCTCTCTGGCCCTCTTGTTACATGCTCTGAAAGCTTTTCATTATTTGTCTACATAGAAGTGATTCCAGTTTCTGATCATATATTCATTGCTGTAGGGTCTTCCCCATCCCCTCCATAAACTCGATGTTTATTTTACTCGCCATTGCGTTCTGAACACCCACCAGAGCGCTGGGTAAATATTTGCAGAGGAAATTAATGATTGCCTTGAGCCATATATTCAGTGATTACATCTGGCCACACTCAATTCCACACCCTAAACGGAAATGTACCCAAGGCTTATTATAAGCCTACATCACCCTATTCTGCACCTTTGAATGAGTTTCTCCGAGGGTTCCAGATTTAAGCAATGTGACATGTGAACAGAACCCACAAACATACAAAGAAGAACTTCAAGGAGGTAGAAAGACCCTTTCCTATCCATTTCTTTGGTTGATAGTACAAATTCCCCTGACAATTTATTCAATCTTTGAAAATAAAGCTCAAAATGCAAATATCTCTGGCCAAGCAGTATTCTTTCATTCGTTTTTTTTCAGTAACTATTCTCTATGTGTCTACTAGGTGCTGTTCCACGTGCTGTAAAAGGCAGCTTGGAGCTGTCATCATGGAGCTTGTAATGCACAAGCAGACAAGTAAATAAATAAGAAATCCAAAGAGATGTATGTGTCATGAAGAAAATAAAATGGGGTGATGCAACAGAGAGTGAATGCGGGCTATTTCAGGCAAGGTGGTCAGGAAAGGCCTCTCTGAGTATGGGATTGGCACAGAAACATATAAGGAGAACAATGAAGAGAAGAGGCAACCCAGAAAAGACTCATATGAATGGGAACTTACTATTTTATAAAAGGGGCACTTAAAATCAGTGAAACAGGGGTGCCTGGGTGGCTCAGTCAGTTAAGTGTCCAACTTTGACTCAGGTCATGAACCCACAGTCTGTGAGTTCGAGTGCCGCGTCCAGCTCTATGCCAACAGCTCAGAGCCTGGAGCCTGCTGCAGATTCTGTGTCTCCCTCTCTCTCTGCCCCTTCCCTGCTCATGCTCTGTCTCTCTCTGTCTCTCAAAAATAAATGTTAAAAAAAATTTTTTTTAATAAAATAAAATCAGTGAAACAGTTCATTTGTTTTCAAAAACAAATAAAAGTATATCCACAGCCTACACATGAAAAAAGAGAATTCCCAAAATGCAAAAAGAGAACTATCAAAGTATTTCAAGAAAATATAAGAGCATTTGCTAGGAGCTAAAGGTAAGGAAGGACTGCACAAGTGAGATGTAGAAAACAAAATCCAAAAATGATAAAATTTTCCATCAAAATTTTAAATGTCTTTGACACCAAAAGCATCAACAGATAAACAATAGGCTAAGATAAATTTTGGAGTTTTATAACAACATAGTTTCTGGTATAAATATAGATCTATAGATCATTTTTTGAAAACCACTATAAAAGTGGGCCAAGCAGGGCCACCTAGGTGGCTCAGTCAGTTAAGCATCAGACTTCGGCTCAGGTCATGATCTCCCAGTTGGTGAGTTTGAACCCCACGTCGGGCTTGCTACTATCAACACAGAGTCCACTTCTGATCCTCTGTCCCTCTCGCTCTCTGCCCCACCCCCCGCAGAAGTCAATAAACATTAAAAAATAAATAAAATAAAAAATTGTTTTAAAAAATGCATATACCTTATGATCCCTATATTTCCCTTATTATTAGTTACCCTAGAGAAAGACCTAGGTATCTGCCTAACGAGGTACGCACAAAGAAGTGCTTTGCAATATTTCCTCAAATTTTATTTTATTGGGGTAAGAACACTTCACAAAAGATCTACTCTCTTAACAAATTTTTAAGTATTCA